GGGCTGGTTCCACCCCCCACTCCCAGCACTCCCGGCCCCGCATCAGTGCTGGGAGTGGGGGCTCTGCCCTGCCACCACTTCCCAGCTGGCACGGGAGGCTCAGGATGTGGGCACAGCAGCGCTAGGTGCAGGGGCTATGCTATGCTGCCCCCCTTTGCTCCCTGCTCCCCCAACCCCAACAGACTTACCCACTGGAGGCAGCTGTGCCAGCTGCCTGTTTAGTCTATGGCTGAATCTCTGTAGCAGCCAAATCTTTTCTGAAGCTTTTCCAAATCAATTTGGATGCTTCAAATAGATTTGGAGATTTTAATTGGTCTCTCAGTTCGATTCAGATTCAGAGATTTGTTCCCCAAATCACACTGAAACTTCTCTGAATCGAATCAGCTACTGAGGCTTCGCACAGCTCTACTGGGGGGAATGATTGGGGGCTGAGGGAACAACTTCCCCCCAGCTCCTGGTTCGATCCCCCAGCTCCCCAGTCATTCCCCCCAGCACCTGTGGCTTCTCCCGGGGCTGCCAGCACTGCCTGCCTTGCCCCAGCAAGGTGGGGAGGAGGACAGCTGGGGGAGCAGCCAGACAAGCTGCAACTTGAGCTGGCAGCCTGGGGAGAAGCTGCGGGGGCTGGAGGGAATAATCAGGGAGCTGGGGGAATTGCTTGGGAGCTGGGGAATCAAACCAGGAGCTGGGGGGAAGCCTCTGTTTGTTCCTCCAGCCCTCAATCATTCCCCCCAGCTCCCGGTTCAATTCTGCAGTTCCCAATCATCCCCCCCAGCTGCCAATCATTCCCTCCAGTCTCCGCAGCTTCTCCGGGGGCTGCCAGCACTGCCTGCCTCACCCTGGCAGGGGAGCTGGCTCAAGCTGGAGTTTGTCCGGCTGCTTCCTCAGCTGCTTCCACCGGTATTGCCTAGTGCCTGCCTGTACAGTCTATGGGCAAATCTCCGAATCTCTCTGAATATCTCTGAATTGATTCAGAGGCTTCTGATTCGATTCGGAGAGATTAATGTGTCTCCCAGTTCAATTTGGATTTGGAGATTCGGCCACCAAATCGGGCCGAATCTCCTCTGAATCGAATTGGCTACTGAAGCTTCACATAGCCCTAGTGCTCAACCCACACACACGTGCACCCATGAACTTGGACCCAGACTCCAGGCATTCAGAACTTTTGCACACATATACACACATAGGCGCAAGGTGTCCCTTACACACTCAGAGGAATTGAGTGCCTGACACACATGTGCATGTGCACACACACCAACTCACACTCACAGAACCCAGGGGTGCCCCTCCCCCAATACACACACAGAGGAACCATGTGTCTCACACACACATATGCATGTGTATACACACACGGGCCCCAGGTATCTGGGACACACATGTACATACACACCTGAAGTACCTGTTCTATTTGCTGGGTCTCTGCTCCCAGATGCCCCCATGCCTGGCTGGAGTGAGGGTGGAGCTAAGAGTACACCCTGCCATTGGCCCCCAAACACATTCCCTCTTTGAAGCTGCTAGTGGGGCAGGGGCAGAGCATGACTCGGGGGTGCTGGGAGCTGTTCCCAGAGGGGCTAGGTGAGCTTCTCTGGTCTCTGATGTTAGTGCTGGGCCAGAAGAACATCTCATTCAGGCTGTGTCCCAACTGGGTGGTGACAAGGCCAACAGGACCTCTGCCCCTCCTCCCACAGCTGAGGGAAAGAACCCAGGCATCCTGAGCCTTGGGCTCCCTTGCTGTAATCCACCAGATCCCACACCCTCCCAAAGCCGGGATAGGACTGAAGGATCCTGGGTCCAGCTGCCCCCTCCATTTCATTCCACTCAGCTCCCAGGGATGGGATAGAACCCAGGCATCCCAGCTCTTACCCCTCCTACTGCTTCTGCTAAGCCTTTCAGCAGCCACGTTAGGGCAGCTCAGCTGCCACCTGATCAGGGGCTCAGTCCCCTAACTGAAGGACTCAGGTGTCTGGGTGCCCACCTCAGCACGTGGGGGTAGGAGCTGCCCCAGTACCTCCATGGCCCCCAGGTCCCTGCCTCTGTGTCACCTGGAACCACAGATGGGCAAAACCCAGTCATCCCTCCATGGGTGGATCTAGGATTTTGAAAAGTGCAGATGGTGTGGGGCATCATCACATATAACACCACCTATTTTTCTCCAGGTAAAAGCAGACTAGAAGCTTTACTCAATATGCTAGAGGCCAAGGGCTATATTATTCAGTTTCAGGTCAAGACAAGAGCAAATATAACTTTATTGGAATGTGCTGTATCATACAATTCGCTATATCAGATGCAACAAATTAGGTAACAATAATCTAAAACTGTCATTTCATTAGTCCTGGAGTCATTAGAATTCAAGGTGCTTCTCTTTTACATTGATGAAACAAAATTATTTTCAAATCCGAGTTTATGTTTTCAGCTGGAGAAGCAGCTACAGACAGCAGAATTGCAGAAGGAAGAATCAGTTGATTAGTGGAACACTGAGACCATTAAAAAAAGGAGAGAGGGTCACACACCTGCAGAGTAAAGTGATTAGCAGGAAGCAGGGGGCTGACAATGAGCCAAGAAGTCAATGGATTCCCCCAGCTCTTCCTGACTCGAAATGCCACTGCCACTGCCAGATGGTTGGCATTAAACTTTGGGTGGAGCTGATATCAAAGTGGGGTACAACAGAGCCAACCCTAGGGTGTGTGGGGCCCAGGGCATATTAGCCTGTGCAGGGGGTACGGGGTTGTAAGCGGCCAGAGCGCAGAGTGGAGGGGAGGGGGTGCAAAGCAGCCAGAGCGCAAAGCTGTCGGCACACAGTGGCCGTGCAGAGTGGTGGTGCCCTCGGCGGGGCCTGTACAGCACTGTCCATGGGCCCCCCCCCAAAGGAAAGGGCCCAGGGCAGTCACCTCGATTCATGTCCCCCTCCTTCCCAAGGGACAGTTCTGCCCTGATGTGAACAGAGTTGCTTTGATCAGTGTATAACATGGAAACTTCTCTTGCAAGCTCCAGAGCATAGGTCACACACCAATGGTCTGAAGTTGCAGCAAAACAGGTTTAGATTGGCTGTTGGGAAAACCTTTGCTGCTAGAGCTGTGAGGCTGTGGAACAGACTGCCTAAGGGAGTGGTGGATTCTGCGTCACTAGAGGTGTTTAAGAAGAGTTCTGGCAAATGGCGTGTCAGAACTGAACCAGTTCTGGGCGTGAAATTCTATAGCAGAAGGAAAAATGCTGAGTATCTCACCTGGATATGACCTGAGCAAACAAGGGGCCGCACCAGAACTGAACTGCTTGAGTAAGCAGTAGGCATCTATTAAATGGCACCGCATGTAACCAGAAAAGTGAGCTGGGAAAAACAGGGCTGCCATAAAGAAGCGGAGAAGCACCTTTTTCTCTCTTGCTGCAGAAAGGAGGATGCAGACTTATGGGCTGAAGTTAAAGCAGAGTAAGTTTAAATTGGATAGGTTGAAAAAAATTCTTCACTGTTAGAGAAGGGAGGCAGTGGAATAGATGCCTAGAGCGGTTGTGGGCTATCACTGGAGGTGTCAAGAAGAGACTGGACAGCCAGTGCTCAGGGATGATCTAGGCATATTGATGCCTGTGTTTTACTGTGGGGATTTCCAAGGCTTCTAAGTTTTGCTGCTTCCCCCTCTATCCCCTTTCTGCTATATGCACCAGGGGGGTTTTAAGCCTCTCTCAGAGGCATTGGGTGTTGGCTGCAGCCAAGGCTGGGGATGGTGATGGGACTGTGCCAGTGCTCCTGCTGGGACAGTCCTACTCCTTCTTAAACCAAGAGGTTCCTGGCTGGAGGGTCTTGTCCCTCCACGCA